CTTCATTTATTTAATTATTATTTACGGGAATATAAAACAATATATCATAATAGAGCCACCCTGTTAAAGGCTATCAAATATAAATATGCGTTATCAAAAAAAACTGTGATGAATCACACATCGGACATACCGATATGGTTCCTCGAAATAAATTCCATAGAGCGAACAATTAAAACAAATCAAACGAGTTTTGTGTAAAAAAAAACGACTAAATTGTGATAACAATTAATAAAATAAATGATTTAGTTTTAAGATTTTTAAATAAATCAATATTACTTTCACTGTAATTAGTAAATAGAAAATAAGCCGGTATTTCTCTTTTTTTTTTACTTATAAAATTTATTTAAAAAAAAATTAGTATGAGTTTCTATTTGATGATAAGCTGTCGAAACAACGCAATATTAACTTTATTTTGTAAAAAGAAACCATCCAAAATTTTCAATTTCTTTAAAAACACATAAATAAGTACATATTGTACGATAAGCGTAAAAAAACAACACTTGCGTATAAACATAAACAAAATTATAGTACTCACATATTTTTAATGGGCAGTAGACCAATCCCTACTTCTGATGTTAAAAACTAATCACAAATAATATTATTTTTCGACACACACAATATCTTCTGCAAAATAACGGCTGTTTGCCTCGAGCTGAGGCAATAGAATGAATCAATCGCCCGACCGTCAGCGGTCGATTTACAGAAAATATTATCACTGACGCATCCTGATAGGTATGTTTCTAACACTATGATATATACACTTAATTTCTTAGTAACATAAGCTACGAAGTCCAAGCAGTTAAGACGCTAGAGTCGATTGAAAATCACAAAAAATTATCAAAAACCATTAATTTTCAGCATGCTGCCTTTAATCAGAGGTACCGCAAATTATCGATGCTTACACTTAAACTACTATCTTTCCCTCTCAGAATTCCACTTTAATAATGTAGTTATCTTTAAAAAGAAAAATTTCAGAGGAAAAGTCGAAAAGGCTTAAAAATATTTATTTTTTAAAGTCTTTATTTAAATAGGTGCAGAGGCGTGCTTATAAAAATTAAACTCGTATACATTTTCTTCTTTGTGACCCTAAGGAATAGTCCCTCAAAGTTACACCAAAATCTAAAATGGATCGGCAACATTTTTTTTTATTTTCAGACGATTTTGTATGGAATGACTCTTTTAGATTATATTTGTTGAACTTTTTTATTTCAAACTTTTGTCTTATGTTGCGCTTTTCATAAATATCTGAATATAATCTTTCTATCGTAAGGAAACAATTACTTTTTCTTTGAATATATTTAGGGAAAAGAAAAATGAGATAACTAAATAATGCAAATATGTACAAAAATAGGCTATCAGAAGAATAAATAACGAGCCATCGAAAAAATCATAATTAGAGTTGTGAAATATAAATTTTTTTGGGTTGGTATTTTCGCCCCTCTATAGAACGACTTTAAACCTTAAACGTTTGTGTCAAAGGACGCCGCCCTAATCTTATGTGAAATGGTTTTTTGCGAGGTTTTTTTGAAATTCAGATATATATCGACCTTTTGATCAAAAGTTACTATTGCCACAACTCCTTGTCACCAACTGTTTGGATAATACACGGTATTGAATATGAACTTTTTGATATTGATCTAAAATCCATTTTAGCCCTATTGTATTATGTCCAACTGAAAACAATATTATTAAAGTTCCACAAATTTATTAATAAAGAAATACAAAACGGTATATCTAGACCCAAAGTTCAAGACTATCTGGATGTTACAAATAACCAATTTTATGTTACTGAAGAAAAATTAGGTGCTAAGTTTTAATACCAATAATACTACTACACAAAATTAAAACAAATACAGTAATTGAATCGGTGAGTTCGAAAACCGTACAAGTCCAAAAGTTAACATTTTAAAGTAAGATACCCATTTTGTTTATAATTTGTCTCTTCATCTGTTGAGCTTAAAAACCGAACTATATACCTAACCGTTAACGTAGTACAGCTGATTGCACCCGTGAAATGAGGAAAAAAACCGTACATGTCCGTGATTCGTACGGTTTTTCATCTCAACAACAAAATAATGGTCAGTTGCTATTAGCCGGAGAGCTAGTAACACAAATTTCATTAAGTGTTTAATGCACTTTGAAATTTTGTAATTTGAAATCATTTGGATGGAAAAGCAGATATACCTGTGTTGGCTAGACCCACCCTGGGACACCAGGTACTGCGCATAATAGAAAGGGGTCGTAAAATATGACCCAAAAAAAGTGTTTGATTCAGAGGCCAAAAAACAACAATGGAAAGTTTAGGTAATTCTAAAAATACTAGTAATTTAGGCAGGCACTTTTGAGAGGGTTAATAATTAATAAATCAACCCCAAAGTTGATTTTTTTAAAATATGATTTGAAGTGTTTGATTCACGCTGAAATTTTAATAGCGTCTTAATTAAATATAAAAAAATTAATTCCAAAAAGGCAGACACTTTTTCCGGGGTTTAAAAAAAACAAAAAGTTTCGGGGCTCGAAACACCAACTTGCTATCCAATTTTGATAGTGTGGATAAAAAAATAAAGAAAAAATTGACATTCCGCAAGTTTGCAATCTCCTGCAAAGTTACAGATGATTTGCAGACGAAAACAGTGAAAACACGTTCCTGTAATTCCATGTTTCTCTTTTGCAATTTCAACTGATAGTTGCAGATGCAAGTACGATTTGCAGAGCTTTTATAATCTCACCCATAGTAAACATGTAAACTCCATTCGTAATAATTTTACTCCATGGGGTTTGTTATTTAAAAAATTTTTATACATTTTTTTTTTCACAAATATCAGTAAAAGTATAATTTTTCTTAAAATTATCTTTTCAATGACGTGTCATACTTGGCTATTTAACTTGCGTTGGGAAACGAAATATGGCAGTTAATACGATAAAAATATGTCCTCCTTCAAACTAAAATCGATCTGTCCGAGCGTTTTTTAACATCCATGATATTAATACCCAAAACCCCCATCAAGTTTTCGTTGGGTCACCTTGCATGAAGAGAGAGTATTTATATTAAAAAAATTTACTTATAAATAATAACCTTTAAACAAAATAGAAATTAAATGGATCGATCCCATATTATTGTAGAAAAATACTAAATAAATAGTTTTGAAGAAACTATTAAAACCAGTTGTGAAGTTTGAAACAAATAAATTGGTAATGGAATTGATATTTTTGTATTTGATTGTATGTTACTTTTCCACTTCCTGAAAAAAGATTCCCCATAAAATAAAAAATAGTAAACAGTTTTTAATAATAATCTTATTAAATGTTCTACTTATAACATATACCAATGACCAAGTCCGATTCTGTTTATTTTCAAATAAACCAATATGGCCGTTGATATAATCTTTAAAAATTAAATAAATCACCGAAATTAATGTAAGTTTCCTTTATCGCCTTCATACTTCGCACTTTTATTATAAATAAAGCTTTTTACAACACATCTTGGCATTTTCAACGTTAATTTCTAAAATTTAAGTCACTAAAGCACCAAATTAATTCTCGTTGACACATTAAATTTGAACAAACAACGCTCTGACATATGATGTCCTTAACTGTGATTGGTGGGTGTGAATAATCTAAGGGTCAAAGCTAGAGTGTCTCGCTTTCATGCATTCTTTGAATATTTGTTTTGCTCTTATTTTTATAAATATATAGTTTGTGTCGTTTTTTAATGTTTAAAACGTCCTTGTAAATCTAAAGTAGAGGAAGTAATTAATGTTCAATAGAGGTAAATAAATAAAGAAGTCTTAATTTTGTTTTGTTTATTAGCAATTTATAAAATTGTTCGAATTTAAACTTTTCTTTATTACAAAATGAAGGCAAATCTATATAGTATACATCATTTTAGTTAATAAAATATGATAAACATTTTTCAGTCATCACTAAATTCCTCAGAAGAATCGTTTTCTAAGTAATTGATATCGAAATTGGTATCGCTGTCATATTACTCGATAATTTCGTTCGCATTGATAATTATTTCGGTTGAAATACAATTATTGTCTTGCAGTTTGCACAACCACGTTATTTTTATTTGTTTTATTTAATCTATGCATTTAATGCAGTAGATATTTTATGGTTAAAACCTTTCATATTTGTTAGCAAAAGTATAATAAATTATTAATTCATTTGAGGAGCTGGCGGGAAAAACAATGCGGGTGCAAAATTTACGAAAATCGAGATACAGGTATTTGTATATGTAATATTACGCCTAGTAAACTTTTACGGGAATATTGATAAGGGTCGCCATATATAGCTACAAATATTTTAGTCAGTTGCGGGAAAAATGATGAGATGGAATATAGATGAACGTGACTTTATATTGAAACAATGGCCGTCTCTGTAGAAAAGCCAGCATCGCATAATTACCTCTGCTAATACTAAAATGGAAAAACAAGAATCTGTTTTTTATAATAATCTGTCCAATTTCAATAATTTCCAAAAATGCGTCATATAAATTTTTTGTTACTGATTAAAATAATAAAACTTCGTGCCTATTCTTGTTGGTAATTACTGAAACATAAGACCGGAAATAATAAGTTTAGAATATATTTTTTACTCTTTCCATGAGACGTAGTGTCTTCAATTGAAAGGGGATCATCAGGACATCGAATTGGATCAATATATCAATAATTTTTGTTCTATTCTATTTTTCATAAGCAAATCTACAAGAAAGTACTATCATTATGAATACTTTTAGAAAGTTAAGGACGATATTTTGTGTTTACTAAAAATGACTTATGTTCGATTTTTAATATTAGTTTTTTTGTTTTTTCCATGTTTTTTCTGAACTTCTTTTCCTCAATTGTCTATTTACCGCACCTTAAACAGTTTAGCAGTAATTAAAACAAAACTTATTATTAAAGCAAATTGTAAAACTTTTTAAGGAAACCCTAAATAAATTAGCAAATGTTAACACACTGTAATTGCAGAATTATCTAAAATGCCCTTTACTATTTTAGGACTGCTTGGTGGTGTATTCCATTCGAAGCTTTGGAATCTATAGCACTACACTTAATGTGGGTAGCAGCAGCAACCTACTGTGCTATTTTGGCACCAAAAGGTTTATTAGCAACATTGCTTGGAGTATGCATGGTGGCCCATTACAGTGTAGGAAGAGGTAGCGGCAGTTTCTTCGGTGGCCATCTCATCGCTAAATTTGGGATAACGATATCCTTTAGAATTATGGGAGCGTTCGCTGTTTGTTCTGGATTATTATATACAATTTTACATTTCTTGTGGTTGAAGAAAGTTGAATTCCGTGTTGAAAACGAAGTACAAGGTATTGTTTCATTCTTTTTATATTAATAAATTATGTAACTAATAACATTTGAAAAGGATCGCATAAGTAAATAGAGCGTGGCATTGAACATTACAGGCAAACACAAAAGCGTAGTTATATTTGCCTTACAATCAAACTTTGCCGGTTTTATCTTACCTTATTATTTTGTTGAAGTAAGGTCAGTAAAAAGTATGAATATATTTAAACGTATTTACTTACTGCGGCCTATTGATGCCAGAAAAAATAATTTTATTTAAAAAAAGTCAAAATATTGAAAAAGTCATAAAAAATAAAAATATTGATGATAAAAAAATTACCGATTTATTCTTTGATTTTGAATTTTAATATAACTTATCCTTTCTTTAGCATCTTTAATTTGGTTGTGAGTTTGTCTTTGGTATGCTCTTTGATTTAAACAAACTGTTACAATATATTTAAGGGAATGCCTAAATGTTTACTGATACGTTTTCTTTTTTAATTTTTTAATTTTTTTAATTTGTCCGAATCTTACAAGATTAATAAGCATTTTTTAAATAACCTAAATTACTACCAAATGTTTAACCTAAATTTCACCTGTGTTCAATCCTAGTTATTAACATATTCTGCCTACTTCGATTTTGTGGCTTATAGCAGTAACTCTGCTTTATCACGATCACTTCCTTTACACAAGCTCAAAAGGTTTGTCGAGCCTCTCCTCATGTCTCTTGGCAATATTCTTAATTTCTGCTGGAATTGATTCAACTTGGAGTTCTTGGTGCAGATCTTTATTACGAACATACCAAGGTGCATTAACTTTGTTCCAGAGAATTCAGTTTTGGATTATTTCTAGGCAATTGTAATTGACTTTAGTGGTATACCCCGATAATTGAATCGGTGAGAGGAAGAACAATATAATTCCAAAAATGTGATTTGTAGAACTATTTATCCTACAAGAATGAAATATAGCAAAGTTGTAGATAATCAAGATCTCTGAACGACTGTGAAATAAAATAACATTTGGTTTTTTTATTAATGACATGCGCGACAAAATGTCTCTTAGAGTTATACTATTTTTCCACCCAACCTCAAAAATAGATTGAATTCTTAATGTTAATTAATGAACAGCGCTACAAGTCAGTAATTTATTTTTATTTATACGGTATTTAACAAACTTAAACTCACATAGCATAAAAAAACATTAATTAGTGTCCATCTTCCACGTTGCTCGTTTCCCATAACGTAATGTAGTAATAAAATTCCAAAATTTCTCCTGCCATATATTGCATCACTTTGAGTATGCGGGCGCAGTAGGTAAAGTTGGGTCTGCTTTAGGCTTGACTATCTTGAAAGTTGTTGAGACGAGTCCGCCAATATACTTGCCATTTATGACATACCCGGGTGTAGAACTGTCATAAGTGAACTACCTGTAATTTTATAGGGTAAATTTGGATTTTATGTTATCGGAAGATTGACATGTTTTCTTGTAGTGGTTGGGCCACCAGTTTTTGTAATCGGTGATATCTTTATAGCATATTGTTGATATCTCGAATGACAGCATCATGTTTTCGTAATCCTCTGGAAGATAGATTCTATCGTATTTTCTTATTGAGACAACCGAAGTCCCTGTCGCATGGCAAAAAAGAGTGACCACGTACTGGACCCTTCGCGGCTTGTCCTTCATGGTATGTATCAAAGTATTCCTGATCCGTTTTAAAATCGTGTATTTCGAACCCATATAGCTGTCTGTAATAAAACATTTCTTGGACGGGTATAACAGGCAGTGGTATATATTGAATATAATCAAAAACTATTCCACCGACATATTCACGCTCGTGGCACAAGGTAGTGCTATCCTTAAGTTTTGAGTAAAATTTGTTAGCCCCACGTTTATGGATCAGCAGTTCGGCAGCTGCAATTCTCTTTGCGTTGTCGTTTAAATTTGGGTCTTTAAGTTTTGTGCCTAATTCTTTGCATTCTTTGCATCAACTTGACGCCTCCCAAATTTCAGTGCAAAATTCTCTTAGAAGAATTTTAAACAAAATTCATATTTGACGATTTTCTTTAATTCCGGGTATAATTTTGCATAATCCTAACGTTCAGAGCTAAATCAAAATAATAAACTTCTTTAGAACTGTAGTGAGAAGTCTTACGGGAAAACTATTCAATATGTTGATGTATTTTGGCAATAACCTCTGGTGGAAATACAGAGTTGGAGAGCATTTTGGCCATCTAGGTTTAAAAATGAAACTTTTGGGAGTTATATCGTTTTTCCACTCACCGATTCAATTGTTGGCTATATGTCCATGCTGGCTTTTGAACTTGTTTGTAAATCAGGACCTTATTTTGAGTGGAAAGTAAAGAAACCTTTCTATTAACTAATACATATTTCTATTTTTATTCTTTAGCTGTTCAGTTTTCATTTTTACATGCTACATTTTAATTTATCATCCAGATTTAGATCCAGATATTTTACTGTTTCCTGATTTGGTATAATATTGTTATTTCAGTTTATTGGTATATATATTCTATTTGTAAATGTGAGGGAATTTTTCTTCGTTAATTTTTGTGGGCCACTGTTTAGACCGTATTTATATGATATTGATTACGTTTTGAAAAATAGCTGTTGTTTCTTCGATAGTTGATCATATGATTAAGACAGCTGTATCATCAGCAAATGTGGCTTATTTTATATTTTCTATGTCTGAAATGTCATAGACGTATAATAAATATAAACTGGCCCTGTGGGACGCCAGCATTTATTGACTTGAGTTCTGAGTATTTGATTTCCATTTAAACTTTAAATATTAGCAGTGACAAATATGATTCTAGTAGCTATGGCATCGGAAAAAATTTCTTTATTTTAAATAGTAGACCTTGAAGATTTTTTTTTTAATTTTAAAATGTCAAAATTGTCGGTGCTATGTACAAGTAATAGTTTTGTGACATTTATCTTCTAATTTTTATAATTCGTTAAAACACATAACCACTTGTTATAATTTTCAAACAGTAGTCTGGGACGAGTATTATGCATTCTCTTTGTCCATTAGGTTGTCCGTCCGTCTGTCCGTCCGTATGTCCGTCCGTATGTCCGTCCGTATGTCCGTCCGTATGTCCGTTTGTCTGTCCATCCGCCTGTCCGTCCTACCGATGTTAGGTTTTTTGTCAAGTTAAAAACAGAGAACTAAAAATTTTAGAAAAATCAAGTTCTATAAGGGGACGAAGCTTATTGATTTTGAAAAAATCTAAATAAAAATAAGAGGTTAAGGGGGTTGAAACATTAAAGAAATTCCTAACTCAAAAACGATAAATAATATCAACTTGAAATTTTTAGCAAAAATCAAGCTCTATAAGTGGCATTTCCTACTGAATTTAAAACAAAAAAATATGAATAAAATGGGGGTTGAAGGAGTGATGAAATAAAAAAAATAGAAATCAAAAACCAAACGCGATATCAATATGAAATATTTAGTGAAAATCAAACTCTATAAGGGAATGAATCCTATTGATTTTAAAAAAAATCTGAATAAAAATAAGGGAAAAAAGGGGGTTGAAGTATTAAAAAAAGCCTTTAAACTCAAAGAGGAAAAATGAAATATTTTTTAGCAAAAATCTAGCTCTATTAAGAGACAAAGCTTATTTACTAAAAAACAAGAAAGGGTATCAAATTGAAATCGTCAGGAAATAACAAGCTTTATAAGGGGATGCAGCCCATTGAGCCTAAAAAATCTGCGAAGATTATGATATAGAATGCCGAGCACTTTATATCTTCATTCTAGTTTTTAATATACATGTTATGTTGGGAATGGGGTGTTAAAATACTGCGAAGATCTATTGTGTCCCCTTCTGTCTCATGCCTTTAACGATCCTTCCAATTCTATCTTTTCACGGAAGTGTAGGATTTGGTGTGGCTTCAAGTTGGGTAAATATCCTTCTTCTATTTAATATGCTCCTAGGTACAGTGCCTTTGGATTGAGTTAGAATGTGAATGGAGGGAGGTTTCGTCCTCCTCCTCGCAGAATCTGCACTCACTATCTCTACTACTCTGTTTACTAAGGTGTCCTTCTGGTCGGCAATACCCAGTAACGATCCCTGTTGCAATACGTAGCCTGTTATTGCTCAGGCAGATGCAGGCTTCTGATCTTTTCTGGTTATATTCACCCAGAAGTATCTTAGTCTGTCTAAGCCCCAAGATTGTTTCACTTATCAGTTTTTCTACTGCCCAATTCTTTTTTAATCTCTCCTAATATTATAATACTGCTGATATCGCAGAATTACTTAGGTCCCACAAAGGGTGTTTGGTCCCCTTTCCTTGCGAGACTATCTGCAATCTCGTTACTTTGTACCCACTTGTCCCGGGACCCAAGTAAAAGTAACTCTATTTTTCTTGCCCAGCCCATTCAATTTTACTAGGCATCTCCAGGCCATTTTTACGCTGATTACGTAAGAGCTCAACGCTTTGATGGCTGCTTGGCTATCGGAGATTATGATAATCTCTTGTCTACGTTAGTTTCTCTCGATGTTACACTGGATACACTTCTCGATGGCGTGCATTTCCGCCTGGAAGATGCTTGGGTATTTTCCGAAGCTTTTGGAGTGCTTCGTTTTAGGCCCATACACTCCTATTCCAGTTCCTTATATAGTTTTGGAACCATCCGTAAACCAATGAATAGCATGTCTTTCGGTTGCAAGCGCGATAGATTTTTGGCACCATTCTTTCTTGCAGTTCAGTAAAATAAATTGAGGGGGAATATATTAAATTTTTCCTTATTAAAAATAGTATGGGTAGATAACATAATATGTTTTCATTTTGTATTTATATAAATTGATTTTTCATTCCTGTAGCCCTGTAGCCCTAAAATACAAGCTGCCACTGAATCGTATACTTTTTACAGTACAATGATTGTTACGTGGCGCCACTTCGGAGCAATCTTCTTTACCATCCTGCCAAATCATAATTTAATAGGTTTAATCTTGTAATAGGTTTAATAGTCTTTTCTTGAAAATACGCCAAAGTGAACGTTTCGTGAGATTTTGTAGATTTTGAAAAAAAGAATTTATTCGCAAACAGTGACAAAGTACTTTAGTTTGAACGACTTATCACCAAACGGTATAAAACCAGAACTGGATTCAACACTATTGGAATTTGCTTCTTTATTTTCAATGGTAAGAAAATGGGTTGCCGAATTTAGGCGTAGTCGCATGAACACAAAATGATGAATCTCGTAGTTGACTCCTAAAAACTGCTACTACCCCGAAAATGATTTAAAAAGTGCACTGTATCGTATTGGATAAGTAATAGTGCGCGAGATAGCAAACATAGTGGATATCTCAAATATGTAATAGTTGGGTGCCGCGATTGTTTACAAAAACTAAATCGTTTGGTTGTTTCTTGCGACCATTTGGCATGTTTTCACTACAATCTCAAGGACTTTTTACTTCGTTTCATAACTGTCAATAAAACCTGGGTCCATCGTTATACTTTAGAAAGCAAAGAATAGTCCAAACAATAGACACTTAAAGGTTCTCCGCTACCAAAGATAGCAAAGTCAGTTTTGTTAAAGGGAAAGGTTATACAATAGGTGTTTTGGGATTATCTTGGCCGACCACCTAAAAAAGGGGAAAACAATAAAGGGCAAATATTATGCCAATTTTTTGCTACAACTTAACGACAAAATCAAAGAGAAATGACCTCCATTGGTAAAGAAGAAAGTGCTTTTTCATCAAGATAACGCCCCTGTCCACAAATTGGTGATTGCAGTGGTCAAAATTCAGGAATTGGGATTTAAATTAGTGCCTCATTTATTAGAAGGTCGATTAAGTAAAGAATGTAAAGCATTTTAAACTGGTCTCTAATTCAGAACATTCAGTTGTCGAATACTCCTCGTATTATAAATCAAAATACCTTTAAAATGTATACAGTATGTCCAAAATTCGAGTCTTATACTCATATCTTGCTTAATACAAAAGATAGGACAATTAAGTGGATAATATTTTAGAGAATTTGATAACATTCTTGAAGCCATCTTCAATACTAAAATTTATGTGGTTTTTAAATTATTAGAAAAACTAAAAATAGTAGCATTTTTTAAATTGCCACTACCTTTAATTTGATGTATTTCAATCTGTTGCATTCGTAAGACACTTTTTAATGGAAAATATTTTTGTAAAAAAAAATCCACATTGTCTATTTCCTTTAACGATGTTTAACATGGTTCAACCATAGTTTACCTTTAAATGACCTCGAGGGTAAGGACTAAGCGAAAATCGAAGTAGGTTATTTTGTTTACTTGATAAATTCAAGTTATTATTACTTTTTTAACTAAATATACTAGTTAAACCCTGTAAATTAAAAGCTGGGACACCACGTATATTACAAAGACGCCACTGGCCATTACATATTTAAAAGAGGGCGAAAATTAAATGTGGATGCCAAGAAGTTAGTCTTATATTGTAGAAATTATTTCTGATTAAGTATAATTAACCCTTTCAGAACCAACTTTTTTTACTCGAGCTAAAAAAATATTTTTAGATTTAGTTAACTTTAGGGAGTTAACAGGTGCAAAAAAAAGCATTACTGAATTTTTACAGTTGACAGTTAACGATTGACAGGATGTCCATTGTAGTGGACATTGGGGCTAAATTGAATAAATGTACATTAAATGTGTTTTTATAATGAAGTTACAAAAAATAGTCATTCTAAAGAATAAATATGTAATAATAAAAATTATCTTAGGTGGAAATTTTTGAAGCAGTTTTTTTGCTTCATGAGGTAAAGGTGTACCTTACATTTAATACTAAAAACATGAGTTTTTCCTTACATGAAAATTGTTTATACCTTGTAGCTTCCTTTTCGTTATCATACTAGGGAAAATTGTTTACCATATCATTCTAAATCTCCTTTATTGGTATAACTTCTATTATTTTTTATTTTTATGTCCGAGGTGAATTCTCACTAAAGCCTTTTGGCCGACCAGCACTTCTCTTTATGGGGTTTCCTACTGAAATTAAAGATTCACCAATATGTAATTTAAGCTTCAATAAATCCATTAAACCTTTTGGAGGTGTGTTTCCATTGTTTTTCCGATATTCTAGCCATCTATTCACGCAAGCTACATTAAAAGCGTGGAAAATAACCCGCAATGTCCATTTTCTGGACTTAATGAAAACTCAATAATACGACAAAAGCTGGTCTAGCAGGTCAACACCTCCCCTTGATTTATTATAAAATTTGATTGACTCTGGCCTCTTTAGGTTTATAAACTTTTTTCTGTATTTTCTCATTTTTATGCGATATCTTCTTTGCCTTTGCCAACAAAGTTTAACCCTACTGTGATAGGTTTATTGTCCTGCCATTTACATAAAACTACGGTTTCTTCATCGTTTACTACTTCTTCACTAAAGCCTTGCTCACATTTTCTAAATTCCCTATTTGATGTAAATGGAGTTCTCTGGAACCTACCTAATCTCACTGTTTCTACCGAATATATATATTTTTTAAACAATACTTCAAAAGTAGATAACTATAAAATAGTTGTCAAAATAAACAATACTATTTTCGGGAACATATTTAGTAAGATGAAGTACACCTGACGGTCCTAATCCAAATTTTGTTAATGTATCTTTTGTTAACTCGGTTATTGAACCTTGATATATAATAAAATGATAAGTGTTACCTTTTATTTGATTTCTACGGTGTAAATTGTACTTAAGAGGTGATTAAGCTCAAATTGCTGATACTGCGTGGATTCATAAATTGATCAGGACAAATGAAATCAGAGTAGCTTGACCGGTTCGCAGGCCAAAGTCTACGTTACGATAAAATTAAAGATATTATAATACGATAACGACAAAAATGTTGAGCGCCACCAAGTTTTTGAGTAACTTGGAACATTTATCTGATTCTGTCCTATTTAAATGAGTTAGTCTCTGGTACTAAAACTTATCTGTACGAGTTCTGGCAAATAAAAGAAAGTGAGAAAATTTAATACATTTAATAAAAAAAATAAAAAGAAAAAAATTTGTGTATAATAAATTAATAGTTAATGACTAAATGTAAATAAATAAATAAATAAATAAATGAATGAATAAAATTGACTGATAGATAAAATTTATTAATTGTCCCAACCATGTGGCATTCTAGTTCGGTACTTCCCTTTTGTATGTCATGGACAATCCGTCTTAGGTCAGTAAACGGCCAGTAAACGGAACTATCTGTTCATCTACACATAGATTTGTTACTTTTGACAATTGAAGACATCGATTTCTAAGATTGGTTGAACTTTGAAAAGTTTGTCTGTGCAACCTTTCGGCTTCTCAAGATTATTTACAATATGTAAATTTTTTCGCAATTGGAAAAATCTATTTCGGCTCATTGGGTTGCGAAAAATATATATTTGGAATTTTTTGTTTCAGTACATTTTCACTTTTGGCAGCGATAAGCAACCCATTAGCAGATGTAATCCAATCAGTTATTTTATTTCTACTTTATTAGTTGGTTTTATTTGGTTATCACTCTGCAAGCTGTAGATATTCGTCATTTCAGCCATATTTTCGAAAACACTTTTCGGAAAATATTTAAAAAAATAATCTATAGAATTTTTATCTTTGCCTAAATCAGATGTATTTCGGTTTGCAGTAGAACTTGGGGGTCTAACGCATTGTTTCCTTGGTACAAATTTTCTTTTTGACCATTAACTTTTATTATTTGTACTTTTTTATTTGTAAATTTTGGTGCTTTGTTTTTTTGAGGTATTTTTTTCCCGACAGTATTATTTTTATCCTAAAATGTATGTTTTGTTTTAGTATTCCTTTACACATTCACGTTATTTTCGATTACCTTAGGAAATTCTGCTAAGTCGATTATTTCTTCATCACCTCCCGTTCTTTCAATTACTCCCCAACTCCAACTCTCTCAATCTCCTCCTCATCATTACTTTCCCAATCAGATCCATAATCCAATGGACCTAAGATATTATCTGTTTGATTTTCGACCTTTTCGTCATTATGTTACAAGGGTTTGTAACATTTCCTGATCCTCGGGATCATCTAAATTAAAATCTGAAAAAATTCATTAAGTTAGGCCCAATGTCCATTACAGTGGACACTTCTTTGTAAATTTATGCTTTTATGTACCAATGTTCTGTATTTTTTATCAAATTCTTCATAAATTTCAATTGTTATTTTAACATGCCTTACACTTACGATGTTTTTTGCTATTGACATCGCCATTACACCAGATAAAACAACTGCTTTGTACTCAACGGCTACCGAATTTGAACTGATTCGTTTTAACGTAATATTCTACGAATACGGACAGAGATTTCTGAGTAGATAGGCAACTCAAATAGCATTAAAAAACATTGGGACTGAAAGGGTTAATTATTAAAATTCAATGAAGATTGGGGGATTTTAATTGATTCCCCTGCGGTTCAACTTCTGAAATTATTTTATGCTGTTAAGGGGGGTGAAGGGCAAGTGGAAGCATAATTTACTTATATATATATATATAATTCTAGCAAGATCAAACCTTCACTACTATTTCAATTGTATTGGAGTGAGTAGTTAATGGTACTTTTAGGAAAAGAAACGACACAGTATCATTTTTGCCATTCACAGGCCGAGTTACCGACCGGTAGCTGGCAACGCCGATACCACATCTTTTACTCACCTGCACATTTACACGTCTTTATTATTCATTCCAACTCAAGCAAAGCGGGACTGAAGACTTGATCTTGCTAGCACTATGTAGCGGGTATAGTTTGTGTTTTGTTTAAGTAATTATTTTATTATTGCAATTACATCGGATTATTCAAATATAGCACCACAAAATGTTTTCAAATGTGGATTGTTTCAAATTTGCGTAATGTATTCTTAAGTAAAAATTCTGAAATAAATTTGCTAAACAACATTTAATCTTATTTTAAACTATTCAAATTTTAAAAATGTTTAGTCTAAAGAATGTGAATTTTAACTTTATAAGAAGTACCAACTCACATGTAAAACAATTTATTATTTATAGGTGAAGAAGCTGAAAATCTAAACAATGGTCAGTTGAAATATAAGGATCAGGGTACAATGATGAGTATGGAAAGATTAAGTGTTATGGCCGAATTTAATCCAGTAGGATCATTGTCATCGTTAGGTAGAAGTCATTTATCCAGAAGTAGTATTATTAGAAGAGGAAGTTTGAGTGTTCCGATAAAACCTAGATCTGCATTTCCATTCATCAAACCTGAATACCTAACATCTGCTAACGAAATTAGACGGAACAGTGAAAAGGTATGTAATCTGTTTAGTAAACAGGAACTTAACTATACCGGGTGACATTGCGAACAAGATCACGTTTTAATCTCTTTTATTTATAAAGCGATTTGGATCAAATTTAAGAAAAACCTACAAGATATAATTTCTAATTTATTCTTATACTTATACAAAATGGCCGACTTCTAGAAATGCCATTAATTTGAGTTTTTAAATTATTTTATGTTTTTTTTTTCATCGAATGACAGCTTTCTAGTTGGCACCTGTTTTCTTTTAGTAGATACCTTATCAGCCTTGGAATGTAGATCTGAGATAACTTCGACTTTTTTTAATTTGGTATATCACTTATCATTATCATCTAAAATAAAAGAACTATTAAAATACAAACCACTGAAAATTCATAAAAAAGATAGAAAGTAAATTGGGTATCTAGTTGTAAAAACGACCTTCTCACAGGTATACATATAGTCTGAGTTTATAATAAAAGTTAATAAAAAAAGATCATATATTCTGTGAGATGATAAAAGGTATCTAAATCAAGTGACCCCCTACAAATCTTTTATTTTTAAATAAACTATTAAAAAAATACCCTGAAAGAACTCATAATCAAAAAATAAAAGTATAACATTACTCACCAGTCTTATATTATAGTATATTTCGTTATATATTTCTTTATAAAGGTCAAAAGACTTGTTTTTACGCAGCGTCAGCCATTTTCTGCTCACCTCACAACCGCCAGACCGTCATCATCCGGTTTTTCAAACTCAACATTGCTAAATATCTGTAAAATACCAAATTCGGTTTAATATACTTTATTATTTTGTCACATTCTATTTTTTACCTGTTTCTAAAACATCTTATTGAATAAAGTACAATTTAAAAATGCACCACGTTCACAAGATGACGACAAGATGGAGGAAACAGGACACAACAATGACAAATGACAATTGATAATATGATATGGCCAGAAATATTCGAAAAAATAACGTAATTATGACGAATTCTAAGTGACGTCTATTCTATGTCATCAATGCGACGTCAAATACACGTTACTGATTAGGATATTGTATTTCCGATACATAATTACTAAAAAATTACGTCGTAATGACGAGTCTGTATTGACGTCTAATTAACGTTGCTTAAAAGACGTCACAGTGACGTAATTGATTGGGATAGTGACGTTTCTGACGAGTAAACCCAAAAAATCACGTCATAATGACGGCACCTTGCTGCTTGGGTTCGAATCGATTTTGCAAAAATGTGTTTACAAACTAATATTTAGCCTTTTAGTAAGTAAAAATAATAATTCCCTACCTTTTTACTTCAAGGCATAAGCTTATGTTTATTTTAAAAAATATGGGTGATCAATCTAAGTATTTCATTGATCTTGTCAAATCACCAGGCCTACAGGGTTGCCATAATTTTGACATATCATAACCTGAAAACCCACTGGTAGCCATTTTGTTTGAAATGCCTAATTAAAAAGTAAGATTTTTCCAAACTACGATTTAGAAATTTATTCATTATCTGAAGGAGTAATTTTTATTTCAATTCGTAAAATAGCTTTTATTTCGAGTTACTTGAGGTTCATAGTCTTCTAGCAAAAACGAAAAAATGTTTTAGCAGAGAAAAATTAAAATGTGACAAAACTGTCATACGTAATTTGAATCGTAGATTACAAAAAACATAATATATACAATTTCATCCATTTAAAAATCAAACTAATTGTATTTTCGGTAAAACCTGAAGTTGTCCATTTTGTTTTAATTATAACAGCTGTTAATTAAAAATTATGTCTAGTATCTTTGTCCTAAATTTAATTCAAATCGAATCAAATATTAACGAGACCCTGATCTCATTGTTACTCGGTATGTAGCATACCTGATTATCGTAATTATTTCCAGCGCATCATAATATACAGTGAGCACCATAAGTCTTACCCCCCCTATCTAACTCGTTACTGGAGTCTTATTAGGAAAATCGCCGAGAGAGGTCAATTTTTGATTTCTACAATGTACATTTTTGTATGAATAGTTTACCCTTAATTTCATCCCTTACTGGAGGGGAGCAACCCTTTCGAAACATTTAAAAGGCATGGGGTGGTGAGTGATAACTCATTTGAAAGAGGGTTTTATTCTCTATTCAACCGTGTAAAAAATTTGAAATTTGCTTCATTAATTCTCGACTAATTGTTGTTTCAGAATAACGGAAATTAACGTAGCGCACTCATCCTTAGAATTAAAATTCGGCCCTGCATGACTTTGGTTTTTGTTCAGACGTGAAGTAAGACTTTTTGGCATTAGAAGGTCACTGTTAGTCTAGTTGCTTTCCTATTTTGTGAGGTTTTGTTATTTTTAAACATTTATAAATCAACATGTAATGATGCAAATTTCAAATTTTTTTTGCACGATTGAATAGAGAATAAAACCCCCTTTCAAATGAGCTATCACTCACCATCCCATGCTGTTTAAATTTTTTGAAAGGGTTTTTACCCTCCAGTAAGGGATGAAATTAAGGGTTAACTAATCATGCAAAAATGTACAGTGTAGAAATTAAAAATCGACTTGTCTTGGCGATTTTCCTAACAAGACCCCAGTAACGAGTTAGTTAGGGGGGTAAGACTTAAGATGCTTACTGTATACTTTTTTACTACAGGATATTTCAAGCAATGTTATTTACTCAAATATACCTCAAAATGAAAATGGTTACATCCCAAACGAGAAAGATGAAATTGTTTATGATGAGATTAAAAGAAAACATCAGACAGAAGATAAAAACGAAAAGAGAAGCAATAAAGAAAAATTTTCTACAGACGTAACTGAAATAGAATCTCAAAAAGGAAAATAATATTATTTAATTAAATTTACGATAGATTTATTCTGTAATGTGTTTACACATAAAGAGATCCGAATAATAATGTAATGTGTTAATGCACAAAGAAATCCGAATAATAAAGGTCTGATATAATTTAATACTCTATTTTCTTAAAAAAAGTAAACCTATAAAATGGGAATAAATCAGATGAGTACATACGAGGTGTCCTTACGAAAACGAACGAACGAACGAACGAACGAACGAACGAACGAACGAACGAACGAACGAACGAACGAACGAACGAACGAACGAACGAACGAACGAACGAACGAACGAACGAACGAACGAACGAACGAACGAACGAACGAACGAACGAACGAACGAACGAACGAACGTACGAACGAACGAACGAACGAACGAACGAACGAACGAACGAACTAACGAACGAACTAACGAACGAACGAACGAACGAACGAACGAACGAACGAACGAACGAACGAACGAACGAACGAACGAACGAACGAACGAACGAACGAACGAACGAACGAACGAACGAACGAACGAACGAACGAACGAACGAACGAACGAACGAACGAACGAACGAACGAACGAACGAACGAACGAACGAACGAACGAACGAACGAACGAACGAACGAACGAACGAACGAACGAACGAACGAACGAACGAACGAACGAACGAACGAACGAACGAACGAACGAACGAACGAACGAACGAACGAACGAACGAACGAACGAACGAACGAACGAACGAACGAACGAACGAACGAACGAACGAACGAACGAACGAACGAACGAACGAACGAACGAACGAACGAACGAACGAACGAACGAACGAACGAACGAACGAACGAAATCATAAAACAAAAAACAATATTAATTAAAATTTTCAGGAAAATCAAGCTCTACGAAGCATATTATTTATTTAAAAAAAAATCTGATTAAAAATAGAGGGGTTAACGGGGGTTGAAATTAAAATAAAAATCATAAATGAAAAACGAAGCACAATATCAAGTTTAAATTTTCAGGACATATCAATTTCTATAAGGGGACGAAGCCACCGGCACACACAAAAAAAAAAGTTGTTTGTACATCAGACACGACCTACCTACCTGTAACAGAAATTCTGTCCATTACGAGAATTTCGAATAAAATTATAGTAATCGTACCGGATATCGGAGCAGTAGACATAGCCAAAATTTGAATAACTGAACATTTGGCGTTTGTTGTTTGGAACCAATGCTATTGGCCTGGTGAAAAATCGAAACTTGTTCTCGCGGTGGCGCACCTTGACTCGCGTTTGACTGATTCAGCTCTTTTCTATCACCGATTGCTGCCAACGCAAGTCGTGAATTTGTTAAAAGCGTTAAATTTTTCGATGTAGTGAATTAAAAGTAATTTTCGTTAGTGCAGATAATAAGGGTTTTGCCACATTAGAATATCTGGTAAGAATAATTTGTTTTAATAAGAAGATGTGTATTTCTTTTTCTTAGAAAATGCTGACACGTTTGATTACAAAATGGATGCAGGCTTAATATTTTTCTGTAATTAAGTTTTTTTACACAGGCAGCTGAGGGGTCGAGAAATTTGTTCAACAATTTTATATGAATAATTCATATTCAAATTTCGCTATATATTTTAGCTTATTTTGCTAGTATATTTAATTTCTGATGTAGTTTTTTCTAATTGTTTTTTTATACATATAAAAATAGGTAAATTATGATATTCCAAATAACGGTTGAAATTGTTTTTTCTGTGCTAATATAAAAGCTTTAAATGCATGAAGGTCACTCATGTCTTATAAGCATACAAAACTACTTGCTTTTTTCTCATATTTTTTTTCTTATTTATCAATTCTTTTTTATCAAGAATATCAGACATTTTGAAATTATAATGGATATGTTCCCAATGATTTGCTGAAATTGATTTTGTTTTTTTATTGTCAATTAAATCATAATATTTCTGTTTTAATTATTGTTAAATACTAAATTGAGTTATTTCTGTTTTAATTATTGTTAAATGCTAAATTGAGTTATTTTTGTTTAACTTTGATTTGAATTTAAACTGGGATTTATTAGATTACAATCTGTCTGAGTTCTGTAACAAAAAAAGGTTTTACGGTCTACATTGCTTGAAATTCTATCTGCATTAAGTGGGAGTTCCTATAATTAAATAACTAGGACCTATGAGACCTTGTGAGATATGAGATAAATCAGACTCGGAATCAGACGTCAGATGAACTAAATTGGAGATCAGGATAAGGCAAATTCACCGTTATACTACATCAGTAGCTACGAGGGATATCTTCTCTTCGCAGAACTTAAGGAAGTACCTATTCTTCGAATAAAAGAAATCTGAACAATCTAAAGACATTGTATTCAAATGTATTCAAACTGACATTGTATTCAAACTGACATTGTATATAGGAAGGTTCATCTTTTAATTTCCAACTATTTAACTTTACAGACTTGACTAAGAGACTATATGTATTTCTAACTGAGGTATTTTTCTGCTTTTTGAGAAAAGCAGATGGCGTCCAAGGTTTTTTTTGTTATTTTGTACTTTACCTATTAATATTTATTTTGTCTTCTCGTGAAGGTAAATTAGATCCTAGAACTGACCTAATTTGCTCTCTCAATAAGAAATACATCCTGGCAAAGAATCTACGCCCCTATGTATAACAATAAAATATTACAAAAATAAGTTAAACTAAAAAAATACCGGTGCACAAAATTGGCGCCCAACGTGGGGCCAGTAAAAGTCAAATCTGGAAAGTTGGTTGGTAAAAAGGTAATTCATTGGGATAACTTCCTATTTTATTAACAAAAAGTTCAGATTTTTTTTATTGGCAGATATTTAATTATCTATAATTATCTTATTTATCTTGAGTGACCTATCTTTTCCTTGATATTTATCATACATTTATTTTGAGTGACTTAATTTTGGTATGTATATCTGATTTTGACGTACCTTTTTTTTAAATATATATCTATAAACTTTACCTTTTTGGTATATATTGATAAAGTTAAAATGGCTTATAAAATAAATGTCGATCATCTTGTGACACATGAATTAGAACACGAACTTAAATATCGAGGTATTCCAGTTCCACCTGCAGCGGTGGATCGAAGGAAAATTTTGAGAGGTATATTGAGCCAGGAGCACACTGGTCGTAGTTCAGTAACATATGTTGATAATTTAAAATTTACTGAGAAACAAAGTGGGATAGCGGAATCCTTTAAAGATTTTTCTAAAAAAATTTAAGAATTTTCTGGTAATTTTAAAGATACATGTCTAGGTTGATGCATGTAACAAGTAGAATTAATAGACTTGTAGCTGAAGATGATCAGCAAAGTGAAGTAAAAGGTAATTTGTTAGTAGACATTTTCTCCCTGGAAGGAGACTTAGAGATTAAAACTAATAAACCTAGTATGCCTGCTCAATCTACACCAATACAGACTCAAAATTTTTCCGTCGCAAAACCAATACAGGTTCATAAATGGGAAATCAAATTTTCCTGTTCGGAACAGGAGTCGGTTAGTTGTTTTTTAGAACGAATAGAATGTCTTCGAGTGTCACGCGGTGCAGGCGATGACGAGATGTTTGCTAGCGCAGTTGAACTGTTTACAGACAGAGCTTTCACATGGTACTTAAATAATAACAGAGACAACAGAGACGTGTAACTTAATAGGAAAATATGTTCGGTGGTCCATTTAAATTACATATATGACCCTCTTTTTCTTTTACATTGATCTTTACATATGTCTATCTCTCTCCAATAAAACTAACACCATTTTCAGAGGGCGCTGGTGTTGCTGGTTTTTTGACGTAGAAATATCGATTAAAAGTATTAAAACTGACAATGTTATGAATGTTGTTATGAACATGTGCATTTTATTAAAATTAATTTAATTTGGGCCCCGTATATTTCTTTTAGTCTGATTTTGTTGTTTAATTAATTTTCTTTGGGGGGGAATGTTTATTTTTGCATATTATTTTTTGCATGAAGCAATTTCTGGAACCAAACTCGCGTTTTTGTACACATTTCTTTCTAGAGGTAAGTAATTTCCAATTTATTAAGAAAACCACTGTATAATGTGTGTGTTTAATAATATATTACACAATGACTATAATTATTTTAGGTGAATTGGAACAGAGATCCATTGTTACAGCTACTTGTGTTCATTAAGTAGGTAGATGAATGTCTGGACAGCTTTAATGGCAGCACAAAGTTCCTATCTACTAGAAAAGTAAAATGTATGCTGAGTAAAAAATCTGCACATGTAGTATTGGCAAAGGACTTTTGAAATGATTAGAGATTAGCTATTTCTTACATACACCTACCTCTAACAGCTACTCTAAAGGAAGAAAAAAAAATTGAATCACAAAAGGGCAGAATTTTAAATCAGGATGCATTGGAAAATAAATTTGGGGACATCAGGTCGGTTTTGGATTTTATAGAGATATATCAATCTCAAGAAAAGTTAATTTATCCTGCAGAACAACCAGTAGTTTAAGTAGGATTTGCTATAACTTTATTAGAAATTTTCTTTGATAATAAATTGTAATATAGGTACCAATTATTGTTTCAAATGAAATTGAAAAAGAGTTAAATATGAAATTAGATTTTTCATGAGTAAAATGTTATATTCATTCGAACATTGTAAGGTAATCTATAATTAAGGAAATATGGAAAATAGGTATACCCTGGTGGTGTAAGAGAAAGGTAAGGGGCAATGACAAAAAAATTACAAAAATGTATTTATCTTTAAATAGTGTTTATTATTAATAATATTATTTGCTATGTTTGAAAAGTACCTCCTGCTTCTGAACAGATTGAATAGATTAGACTACTAGTTGGAGAAGGTCCACCTAGTAACCAAATTAGGAGAGACTAGGAAAACTTTTACATGACTGGGGACACAACAGGAATTCACACACACAAGATACACAAACAAACGAAATAACAGGGGTAAGCCTTCAGCAATGTCCTGTTTAAATGATGATAGTATGTCATCCTTCATTCCCTTTTAGAAGACATGGCATATAAATATATTGATCTTGATTACTATAAGAGGAGTTAGCAGGGGTCTAGCAGGTTTTGATCCAGTTTACAGGATGGGA